AAGAAATGTTCAAGCTAGATTCCAAAAAGGAAGAGGCTCTAGAGATCATATTGCAATTATCCGCTGGCTATTAAAGTATGCCAAAGAATTTCAGAATAAGATCAGTCTGTGCTTTATAGCCTACAGAAAAGCCTTTGATTTTATGGATCAGAGAAACTATGAGTTGTGGAGAAAGAAATGCACTGACGTGTAATCTTTATTGCGGAGAAGAAGCTAGTACAGATTATGGATAGAAAATTCCCTATAGGCAAAGGTGTCAGACGGTGGTGCATTTTATCCCCTTACCTGTTCAATTTCATGCAGAACACATCACACAGGAAGCCAGACTAGATTCAGGTGAAGAAGGAGTGAAAATTGGTTGGAAAAATATTAATAATTTAAACTATGTAGATGGCACCACTTTACTGGCAGAAAGCAGCAATGAATTGAAACAATTTCTAGTGAAAGTGAAAGAAGAAAGTGCCAAAGCAGGACTGCAGTTGAATGTTAAGAAGATAAAAATTGTGACTACAAAAGAACTACACATTCAGTGTTGACAATGAAGAAACTGAATTTGCTAAATATTTTGCATATCTTTGTTCAATCATAAGGCAAGAAATCAGAAGACATCTGAGATTCAGAAGGGCAGCAACGAAGGAACTGGAAAAGATAGTCAAGTGTAAGGATGCATCACTGGAGATTAAAACCAACATCATCCATTCTCTCACATTTCAGTGTGAAAGCTGGACAGTATAGAAAGCTAAAAGGGGGGGAAACTGATTTGTTTGAAATACGGTGCTGGAAGTATGCTTTGCCCTTGACAACCAAAACAACAACAGCAGCAGCAGCAGCAACAACAACAACAAGAGTTCCAGAGCAAATAAAGCCTGAACTATCTCTGGAAGCAAAAAGGATGAAACTGACGCTGTCCTACTTTGGGCACCTCATGAGAAGACAGGATTCTCTGGAAAAGACAATAATGCTGAGAAAGGCTGAAGGAAGGAGGAAAATAGGAAGACCAAAGATGGATTGGCTCAGTCAAGGAACCACTAGCCCTAAGTTTGCAAGAACTGTGCAGGTCTGCTGAGAATAGGACATTTTTGGGGATCACCCATTCACAGTGTAGCCTTAAGTTGGAGATGACTTGACAGCATGTAACGACAATACAGTACATAGTATATACAACCCGAAGCTACCCACACTGCTCAAGAGCCAGTTAAAAAGCCCCACCAGCGTCGTTCTTGAAGAATCCCAATGGAGAATGAGGAGGTGTCTGACCAGCATAGTAGGCAATTCCACCATTTTTGGTGACTTATGAGGGCACCCAATCAGCAGGTAAAAGGCATTTGGGCCAGCCCTGCTGTGCTGCCTAGTTGGATATGAGTGGACAAGGAGGCCTGGAAGGTCTCCTTGCATATGTGTGGCCAATCCATATTGGTTAATGCAACCAGACAGATCCTACCTGAAGATCTCTGGCATCCTCGGGTGTTATCTTAGGTCCAATCCCAAAATAGGATAAAACCATCCTTGGAAATTACCCATGCACTGAACAGTGC